GAATAGAATAGAATAGAATAGAATAGAATAGAATAGAATAGAATAGAGTTCTTTATTGGCCAAGTGTGATTGCACACACAAGGAATTTGTCTTGGTGCAAATGCTCTGAGTGTACATAAAAGAAAAGAGACATTTGTCAAGAATCATCAGGTACAACACTTAGTGATAGTAGAATAAAAGAGAATTGGAGAGAATAGAACAGAGCAGAACAGAATAGAATAGGATAGAATAGAAAATAGAATAGAAAATAGAATAGAACAGAATAGAATAGAACAAAATAGAATATAAATATGGAAGATTAGAATAGAAATAGAATAGAATAGAATAGAATAGAATAGAATAGAATAGAATAGAATAGAATAGAATAGAATAGAATAGAATAGAATAGAATTCTTTATTGGCCAAGTGTGATGGACAAACAAGGAATTTGTCTTGGTTCAGATGCTCTCAGTGTCCACAAAAGAAAAGAGACATTCGTCAAGAACCATCATTAATAATAGTCAGAGTACAATAAGCCATCAAATCATACTAGGAAACAGTCATAAATCATAAATCGTAAGGATACAAGCCACAAAGTCACAGTCATACAGTCACAAGTGGGAGGGGATGGGCGATATGGAGTGTTGAGAAGATTCATAGTGATCGTGCAGGCTTTATAAATAGTTGGACGGTGGATTGATGGAGAGAGGAATAGGTGGATGGATGGAGAGCGAGATGGATGGATGCATGGAACAGCCTCCCTCTCGGCGTTTTGAGTGCTCTTATCACCGGAGGACTTCGAGAAAAGTTTGGCCAGCCATTTATCTGGGATGGTATATAAGGTCTCCTAGTTCGGAGAGAGGTTGGACTAGAAGACCTCCAAAGGTCCCTTAGGATCCTACGGTTCCGGCACCTTTCCTTAACCCCGGCCTTACGTATTTCGTAATGATGGGAATTTTGACCATCTATACCTCATACAAGGAGAAGAGCATCTTTCTGGTAGCGCACCGGAAAGACCCCACGGGAATGGACCCTGACGACATCTGGCAGCTTTCCTCAAGTCTGAAAAGGTAACACACACACACACACACACCCAGACTCCTCCCCCCCGCCCCCCCAGGACTCACCAAAGTCTGGCTTGAAGGACGAGGGTTACGGGGTAGAGAAATCAGGCCAGCTCCCAGAAACCTCCATCGAGAAGAAGGTTAAATGAAAGTTGTCCTGCGCTGACCCTGCCCCCCAAAACAGTTCGGATCGCAAACTCAGCAGAAGTCTTCCAATCTCCTCTCCTCTCGACCTACGGTTCAGTGACCGGTCATTAAGCGAGGAGTACCTCTATCACCGGGAGCTCACGAATTGAATTGAATTGAACCCTTTTATTCTTTATTTTTACCTGTTTGTTTTTGTTCTCTTTTTTTTTCTTTATTTTGCTTATTGCTTACTTTAGATTTTATTTTACTTCGCATTTTATGTCATTTGTTATTTTCTGTTTTATTTCGTTTTCTATTTTAATATTTAATGTTATATTTTATTCATTTTTTATTTTAGATTATGTTTTTTTATGTTGTATGATTTTATGTTTTGTATTTTATATTATTTATGTTATGTTGTATTTTATATTTTGCATTTCTCCAGCGTGCTCTTTCAATTTTTTTCATTTTATTTTATAGTTTATTCATTTGTCATTTTACCTTATTTTATCTTATTTTATTTTATGCTGTATTATTTTTTATTTTTTATTTTGCCATTTTATTTTATTTTATATCTTGCTCATTTTTTATTTTGTCTTTTTTTATACTATATTGTAGTTTTATTTTGCTTTCTATTTCATATTCCGTTGCTTTATGTTACGTGGTTTTGTATTTTAATATTCTATTATTTTATGTTACTGTCAACTCATAAAATATTTCTATGGTCTTTTTAGAGTTGCCAACAGAAAGGGAGTGAGGGGGCATTGCAGCAGTTTGCGCATTCCACAAATGTTTTCAAAGATAGTAACTAGGGGACTGAAGCTTCTGTTGTGCAAAATTCTATCCAGAGAGCCTGATGGATGACTCTGGGCTAGGGAGGTGTCCCATTGGAGGATATGAATTACGATACACCCAGGGGGTGAAGGGCAAACCAGGGTCAAGGGTGACAATGAATTATGTGTCTCAGAGTCGGTTACACCCAGGCAATGCCGGCATGTTAACTCCCAATAAATCCTTTTGAAGTTTTGGAAGTTTGGCTCGAGACTCAGGGTTTAAATGGGGGGGTAACTGCCGGAATCCTGACAGCTAGACTGTTTTTATAATTTATATTTATTTCATTTCACTTGATTTTTAGAAAGTGAGCCCCCCGTTTTCCCCGCTGGATGGTCCTTGACCCCGTCCTCTCTGTTTCTCCTCCCTTTTTGCAGGTTTGACGACAAATACAGCCTGAAGATGACCTTCATCAGTGGCCGAAGCAAGCAGCAGCCGAGGGAGGCCGAATTCACCCGCTCCATCGCCAAATTCTTCGACAGCAATGGGACCTTAGTAATGGAAACCTTTGAGCCCGAGGTCTCCAAGCTCCACGACAGCCTCCTGCTGGAAAAGAAGCTCAAGTAGGCTGCTGGCCACCTTCCCACTTAGATCACGCTGAGCTTTCAAAGTCAATAAAGCAATCGAAGCCAACGCGAGACCCTCCCTTCTTTCTCTCTCCCTTCCTCGGCCCATCTCTCTTTTGAGCAAAAAAAAAAAAAAGGACTTTAATCCAGCACCGGCCAAGTCCAAAACTCACGGCCTAAGTTTTGGGTTGGTTTGTTTCCCTTTAGACCACCACGGATGTCCAATCTGGAACCGCGTATAAGACTGGTGGACCTCAACGCCTAGAATTCCCCAGCCGTGTGGAATTCTAGACGTTGAAGTCGTCCCCCCCGGTCTTAAAAGTTGCCCAAAGCCGCCAACCTCTTCTTTTAAGATCGATGACCTCGGTGCCGTCAGAGCTTGGCAATTTTCTGGCCTTTTCCGTCCTAACCAAAGTAAGCAAAGCTCATCTGTGTACAAGCATTCCCACCCCCACCTCACTTCCCCTTCCAGCGACTGACGTCGTTCCCTCGTTGGGTCATGAAACGTCCGCCAGAAAATCGCCCAGGTCTAAGAGAGCACCAAGGACCACCACCACCACCCTCGCAGTTCGACCCTGAACGGCTATACATTGTTAATTCTTTGGGAACTCGGATTTTTCAAAGCAATTTGGGGAATGAGAAAAGTTGAGCCTCCATTTTTTTTTGTGGGGGGGGGTGGTGTTAAATTTTATTTTTATTTTATTTTAAGATAGTGAAGCCCTAATAAGGCCGTTCTGCAGGCATTGTCAAAACAATCAAAGGCTGAATTGGAACTTGATTTCGACAGAGAACGACTGCTTAGTTAATTCTGGCTGTGGTTTTCAATTATGTCTGTCGTTGAACCGATTTGTCAAGGTTCAATTTTCTTTTTTTAAAAAGGTCTGTTTTGGGGAGGTGGGATTTGACTTAGAGATTTGAAGATTGCAGGTAGTCCTCAACTTACGACTGCAATTGAGCCCCAAATTTCCTGTTGCTGAGTGAGATATTAAGTGACCCCTGCCCCATTTTACAATCTTTCTTGCCACCGTTGTTAAGTGAATCATTGAAGCTGTTAAGTTAACTTCGACAGTAAATGAACTGTTGTAAGTCGAGGACGGACCTGGCAAAGGAAAAATGTGAAGATTTAAAAAATATTTTCCAACTCTGCATTGTCCCTTTTTTGGTGCATTTTATCCGTGCAGTTAAAAAAAAAAAGAGGTAAAAAACTCTCTTGTTCCTTGCATAAACTGCCATTTTCTAAAAATAGTGTTTTTTTCCTCCCCCCAATAAAAGACAGAAACTTAACATGGCAATTGTGGAATTGTTCATGAGTGGGATACACAACGTTGTCATTTATTTTTTTGTAGATTGTAATTCTAATTATTTTCACACGCATCCACATAAGGCTGATCTGAGTCACTTGGCAGGGATTTAGAAGAAGTTTCATTCACAGCTTTGTTTAAAGCCCAAAGCTTTAATAAAAACTATAAATGAATTATGTGATTATAAATATTGTAACAAAAAATAAAAAAGAGAGAGAGACAATTCAGTGTTGCGGTTAAGGCCTCGGGTCAGAAACCAGAAGGCTATGAGTTCTAATCCCATCTTGGGCCAGAAAGGCGACTGGGCGATTGGGCCAGCCACTTTCTCAGAGCCCTAGGAAGGAGGCAATGGCAAATACCTCTGAAAAAGGTAGTCAAGAAAACTCCAGTCTCTGAGAATCAGACACAATGGAGGGCAAAAATTAAAAAATAATATCACGGAAGAAATTACCAATTTGCAATAGAGGCACGCGTATGTTTTTTTTTTAAGACAATCGCAGTGCAGAACTGGGATATTTTTCATTCCTGCTAGAATGCTTGTTTTGTACTTTCCGTGTTTCGATATTTACACACCACAGTCACGTAGAGAATTGCAGGTGGGGAGCTGCTCTAAAGCAGCCCTTTAAGGAACGCACCTTGAAATAAGCAATAAAAATACCTTGGTGTTTCTTTAAAATGATTACGGACAGCAATTTAGTTATCAATTTGACTCGGAGTTCGGGATCAGTAAAATATTAATAGTCTCCCTCATTAGACCTACCGTCTTTAAAGGATGTCAGAAGGCCGTGAAAAGATGAAACAATGTTAGTGTTACTTTTAAGTTAACGGAAGTGACACTAATCTTTTTATTCCCTTCGGGGTGGGGTCAGCAGATGCATCTCTAACCACTGTGCAATGCTGCTGGCGATGGGCACATCCCTCCCCATCTGTCAGGTGTTTGGGATTCACAGCACGTAACTGTCTGTGTTGTGGTTCATTGGCAGCCTGTCCAGACGGCTGCGGAATCGGACAGTGGGAAGAAAGGTTAGGGAATCTGGAGAGGACTCGGACGAGGGTCCTGCATTTGATGCAGGGATGGGGCCAGGACCATCTGGGAGTGGGATGCTGCCATTGGAGCTTCGGAGTCTGGCAGCAGCGAGGCAGAGGACCCAGGGGAGCCTGTCCCCAGTGCGCACATGCACAGAGCTGCTAGAAGGCGAGAGCAGCTGAGAGAAAAGGGGCGATTCGGAAGTAAGGCTGGGAAGTGATTGGCCCCTCCCATAAGACATAAAGGACAGGCAAAGGTGAAGAAACCTTTGCAGGAAGCAAAGTCGTTCGGATTAAACCTGGAAGCTCTGTACTTCGGTTGGGTTGTTTTTTTTCTAGTTCATTGGACACTTCTGTTCTTGGCAGCACTTCACTGGACAGAAAGGTGGGTGCTTATCTCGAGGGACTGTTTGAGAATTCCCTACCAGCTGGGAATGAAAATAATTCCCAGCGTTGCAATAAAACAAGACTTGTTTTTAAAATGAGCGTGTGTTCGTAATTACGGTCTTGGAAGCCTTGGTCAGAACAATCTGCGGAGCTTCTCAGTCATCCAGGTCATGGTTGGCCCAAAGGTGCTTTTGTCAAAATGCAACTGGACTTTTTTTGTTTTTTTCTTCTTCCTTGAAGACGTTTTGCTTCTCATCCAAGAAGCTTCCTTCGGTTCTGACTGAAGAAGCTTCTTGGATGAGTCAGAAGCGAAGGAAGCTTCTTGGATGAGAAGTGAAACGCCTTCAAGGAAAAACAAAGTCCAGTTGCCTTGTGACAAAAGCACCTTTGGGACAACCTGGACGACTGAGAAGACATTTTTCTCCAATTCTCCAGATCTTGAAAACTTTCCTCGAAAACCTCCAGCAAATGGAGCACCGCTGTCCACCCCGAGCTTTTGCGATGGGCACTTAGCTGATGACGGCTCCTCGGTGGACCACTCCGGATCCATTGGTTCCCTCCGCAAAACTCTGGGCTCCTGTATTCCTTGCGTTTCCTTGTTTCAGACTTAGAACATAGGGACAACTCTAAAAAGGCCGCACCGGACAAGTGAACTCGCCATCAATCCTTTTGAAATGTTGGGGAGTTGGGCTCAAGACTCGTCTTTTAATCCTGACACAGAATATCAGAGCTGGAAAAAGGGACCTCAGAACAAGTGGTAGGATGCTGACGGTTTAACAAACCGGTTCGGTGAGCGTGCGCATGTCTTAAGGCGCTTGCACTGAAAAATGGAGCGTTTAGAAGCTCGGCTGCCTACCTTCCAAGTCAGCTACGCTAAGTAGAACGGCGAGGTACGCGTGTGCGTGTGAAATCAGTTGTGCCGCATGATTGAGATCCGCCGCAAAGCGGAAGATATAGGACGGGATAGGGTGGGGCCAACTGATCGTTGGAACAACCGGTTCGCTTGAAACCGGCCGCATCCCACCACTGCCTTGGAGGTCTTCTATGTAGTCCAACCCCCACCCCGCCCGCTTGACGACTAGACTGTTTCAGACAGGTGGCTGTCCAGTCTCTTCTTCACTTCCTCCAGACGAGCTTCCTTGGATCCTACCAGTTGTCCTGTGAACAGCCCAGGAGATACAGAACATCTTGTCCCCTTCTGGGTTTGATTTTGGTTTGAAGTGGCAACATCTGCTAATTAAAAATAATAACAACCCCAGAAGTCTTGATCTATTGATGTAAGGTTCCAGTGATAGAAAACTGGCTATGAATCCTTTCCTTCCTTCCTTCCTTCCTTCCTTCCTTCCTTCCTTCCTTCTTTCCTTCCTTCCTTCCTTTTCCCCTTCCTTCCATCCATCCATCCATCCATTTATATCCATCCATCCATAGCTATCTATCTATATCATATCATTATCTATCTATCCATCCATCCATCCATCCATCCATCTATAGCTATCTATATATCATATATCATATCATATCATATATCTTTATCCATCCATCCATATCTGTCTGTCTATCTATCTATCTATCTATCTATCTATCTATCTATCTATCTATCTATCTTATCTATCTATCATCTATCTCTTTCTATCTATCTTCTATCTGTCTATCTCATTTATCTATCATCTATCTATCATCTATTTATCTCATTTATCTATCTATATCTATCTACCTATCTATCTATTGATCTATCTATTGATCTATCATCTATCTAATTTATCTATCTCATTTATCTATCATCTATCTATCTCATTATCTATCACAATCTATCTATCTCATCTATCTATTGATCTATCTATCTATCTATATCTCATCTATCTATCTATCTTATCTATCTATCATCTATCTCTTTCTATCTTTCTATCTTCTATCTGTCTATCTATCTCATTTATCTATCTATCATCTATCTATCTCATTTATCTATATCTATCTATATCTATCTATCTATCTATTCATCTATCTATCATCTATCTATCTCATCTATCTCATTTATCTATCATCTATCTATCTCATCTATCTATCACAATCTATCTATCTATCTCATCTATCTATTGATCTATCTATCTATCTATCTATCTATCATCTCATTTATCTGTCTCTCTAACCTTTCCCAGAAATCCCCCGCTTGATTTATTTTTAAACTTCTCTTGCCCCTCGGGGTGCCTCCCTCCACTTTCCGCCCACCCCAGCTGGGCCTGGAAAACATCTTCTTGGGCCTCTAGTTCCCCGACGAGCCGCAGACGGGTGTGAAAAAAGGAAGCCGCTCGTTCGAAGGGTATCTGTGGCTAATATTTTATGCATGTTTTCTTTTCTGGAGTCCCCGGAGCAATTCAGGGCTGAGAAAGCCCCAAGGGAGAAGGGACGTTGTCTTTCAAGGTGGAAGCGGCTGGGAGGGGAGGAAAAAATCATCCCACAAAACCAAACGATCCCGATTCAGATCCAATTCGGGGTCGGATCTTTTCCTGCCGATCCTTCCGTGGACTCCTCAATCGATTCTGCCACCGATCCCTACAAAAGCAAAGAACCTCATCACTCAAAGCAACCAGATACTAAGGGCTACTAACCTAATTAGACTT